AAATCTTCCATGTAACTGCTTTTGTAATTGAGCATATTTTAGCATTAGCATACAAATTAGCCCATAGACCTAGGCAAATAAAAATGCTAATAAAATGTAAAGATAGAACATTAATACTGAATTTGGTTAGATTATTAATGTTAGACTACATTACATATAACATTTCCATAATACCAGTAAATATGGACATTTTTGTCCAAACATGAAAGATTTCGTTGACCAGAATTTTTAAAATTCAAGATAATTTTTATTATATAATCTGTGGGAAGAAAAACAGGATGAATGTTCTTCTATTCTGCAGGGAAGGCAAACACTTGTTTTATCTGTATACTCTACTTCGCCCCGACCCTATGCCACCATTAATACTTGAGAATAACTTCATCTCAATAATGATTTGATTTACTATTACTAGAGATTTAAGTTTTTATGAAAGAAACAAGTGAGAGTATAGAAATAAAATAAAATCAAACACTTCTCCCTACACGTGCCTTGCTTTGGCACCAAGCCATGCACAACTCCAGGGGCACGATCCACACGGACGCTGATGTGAGTGATGGTCCCAGAGCCGTCAGCACACAAACCGTACCAACATACAGGCACCTCTGATGGTACAGAGGAGTAAGCGAGCATGGGTCATTTCAGAAAAATTGGCAATTTATACCTGCCATTCTGAAGTTTTCGAAGTAGAAGGGTTTATTTAACTCTCATTAGGAGCACTCTGCACAATATCATAAAACAAAACCAATTCCCCACCTTGTCAGAAGAAATATATACTAGAAGCAAATCAATGCAGTCTCTTTGTGGAGGACACTGTGGATTGCTTACCTAAAAGCCCAGTCTTCCCTTTTTTGTATTTGAAAAGAGACACACAAGCCTCGCCCCCCAAGTTCAGATATCATGCAGCTGTGCGGTTTGTAAGAAGCTGGATCTCCTTTTGAGCACCAGAGGGTGAAACTGGATAAGGGTATTTCATTAGTCTTTGTACCTTCGGTGTAGGAAAGGGCATTTGGGCCATTTTGCCCAATAAGCTGGAGGGAAAGACTTGCTTGGAGCCTTTGGGGAGAGGTTTCCTTGATTTCTGAAAAAGAAATGGGGAAAGGAGAAAACCACTTCCCCCCTTTCCGCCTTTAGACATTATGATACTTGTGTTGGCATCTCTACAGCCATCTTGGCACCTAACTCCTGTGGTATGCAGCATCTTGAAACATACCTATGTTTAACTTATGGATGGTTAGAAGTAGCTCAAAGAAACCTTGGAGATCATCAAATTCAACTGTATCATTTCTTTTTGTTAAACCAGTTTCCATATTGTTTGACTTAGTAATACTCCCCAGTGGAAATCATAACTATTATTATCCAACTATTAAGTTTAGGAAGCAGTGATAAACATAGATAAAATTTGATTATTTGGTTAGGTGCCATTTTACAGATAGACACTTGTAATGTGACTCTTTTAATTATGCAGTAATTCCAGAATAGTATCCTACCAGAATTAATTCACTGGCATTGGCAGCTTATTTCTAGAATTTTTTAAAAATGGAACCTAGGCTTACTAAGATGGGTGAATTTAATACTTAGAGAGTTACAAAGGTGATGAACAATGTTTTTTGCCTTGTCATAAATATAACTAGCACAAACTAATTTATTGAATGTTTGCTTTTATGCTAGACCATATGTTAAGTGCTTCCCTGACTCAAATAGCTCCATTCAGTTCTCACAACAACTTAGCTAAGATTGTTATTATACCCCTTTCATGGATGAGGAAATGGAGTTTAGGTAAGGTTAAAAGTTTTCTCAAGATTACAAAGCTAGTAGTAGAAAAGCTGGGATTTGCAGTCTGACTCCAGAGCTCAAGATCCTAATCACTGCAGTTTTCTGCCCAAGAGTCAAGATAATTTCTTGGTTGAGGCACGTGGCACACACTATTGGGTGCCTACTTGACACCTATTCTTTCTCCTCTCAAACAGAACCCCTATTTTGTTTGGGGTGACTCATGATCAACTTAATGAACTGAGGCAATCTCATTTTCTTTTTGCCACTGGGCTGCAGTGGGCATGTGACCGTTTTCTGGCCAATAAGGGAGATTCTACTGGTTGGGGTGGGGGTTACAGTCTGGGAAAGGTTATTCTCCTTCATAAAAATGGGAGCAGCACTGCCTTCCCTTCCTGCTTGAACAGTGACCTCTGAGGATGTCCTATCTGGAGCTGTGGCAGCCACACTGCAATCAAGAGGTGATAAGCTGGAGATAGAAGCCAACATGTATATGATGATAGAGAGCAGGCACAAAAAGAACTTCGGTCCCTAGTGACATGATTGTGGTGCTGAACTAACCCTGGGACTACTTAACATCCGAACCTTGTGTTAAAGATAGAATAAATGACCTTATACTTTAAGCTATTAGATATTTTGTTCCTTGTGGCCAAAAGTATCCTAACGGATACAATCTGGGCAGGAAAAGACATTTTCTCAGAGGTGCTGTGAAAGCAGATGATGTGGAGGTTATCAAGATCTCATCCAGGAATCTGTTAGTGTAGGTAATACTTAAAAATACTCCAGCTTTGTCTCAGATCTGGGTAAATCTGAGCAATCCACATGTCTGTGCTGGATATTTCCCCCTTTTCTCTCCAGATGCAGGGTTTCCTCTTCTCTGTGTGACTGACTGAGATGGACTGCAGCAAAGGGTTCTCTTGCCCTCTGGCTTCTGGTTGGATTTGGCCACTGGGATGTACCAGCAGGAGACTGGAAGAGGGAGGTGAGTGAGATATAAATCCCCCAGCTTTCTCCTTGGGCAATTACTTAGGCTGACTGCATCCCTTGACTGAAGTTCACAGGCTCCTGTCCGGCTGCCTTTTTGGTCCTTAATTTTGGTTCCTTCCCCTTCTAAAGACCTAGGAGCTTGTAGCCCTAGGGTTCCACACTGCCCTTGTGGTTTCCCACAGCCTGCCCACATCTTGGTAAAGTACCATTTGTCTCCTGTTAGGCTCTGACTGGTACAATGGTGTGAACAAAATCACTGCAGTGGTTGAAACTTTGGTCCCCTCTATCTGATACATGATGAGATTCTGTGGAGTTATTCATAGTGTAAATAAGGGCTTTCCTCAACCATTAAAGGGAGACAGGAGACTATATAATTAGGAGTCACTCTGCAAAAGTAAAACAAAGTATCATAGCTCAAGAAAAGTTTCTACTTGGAGGACAAGAAATCAAAGAAGGCTACCTGGAAGAGATGGCATTTGGACTAAGGATGGTAATAAGATTTTTAAAAGACAAAAAGACTGGGAGAGTGTGAATCAAGTGAGGGAAGACAGAATGCTCAGGAGTTTTTTGAAAAATTAGAGCTGGAAGGGACCTAAGATGTTCTTTATTCAATGTTAGTCCTCCCTCCACCTCCTTCACAGATGAATACACTTGAAGCTGAGATTTGGCCAAGGTCAAACAACAAGTAGCATGCAGGTCTGCTAGTTCCTAGGCTAGTTCTAATCCTACCTTCTACTTCCACATCACCCTACCTCATCTCAGGCAGTCTGTGAACTTGTCGGTCTCTCCCACTAGACTATGACCTCCTTGATGGCTGTTTTCTTCATCTTTGAAACCCAGTACCTAGCACAATTTCTGACATAAAGTCATCGTTAAGATCACGAGCTACCAAAAGGTAAGCACCTACCTTCTGTGAGGTACTGTGCAGATATTTTATATGTACCTCATGAAATCTTCACAACGGCTTGGAGGGGTGTAATTATCTTCACTTTTCAGCCCAAGATGCAGCGGCTCAGAGAGGTTGTCTAATTTGCCCCAGGTCGCACAGCAGTATGCAGGACTATATCTTACCTTCCATCATGGGCGTCCGATAACATTTGCTGAATGAGTGAAAGAACGAACAAGAAACATCCAGAGTGCAGCCGATCGGCTGTGACAGGCCACCCTGGAGAGCCCGCCACCTCGGGCAATAGACTCGGCTCGTCGTCTCCCCTCCAAAGTACACCCTCTCCTGGAAGCGCCGCGTGCAGGCTCCGGGGCTCCACCCCCTACTCCGTCCGGCTCTCCAGCCACGCCTCCACCTCGGAGTTCTCTTCGCTCTTCCGTGTCCGAGTTTTCGCTTGGCTCCAGCCGCCGTAAGGAGGGCCTCTCTCGGCCCTGCGATGTGTGGCCGGTTCCATTCCCCTGCCCCTCCCTTCGGCCTCCCTCACTCTTCAAACTTCTTTTTTCCACCCTCTTTAAACTTCACTCATCCTAGTTGCCCGCCTTCTCCACTCCCACCGACCAATAGGTGGTCCTCACTCTCGCCGAGGATCCGCCCCCTACCCGCTGGGGGCCAATCCCCGGCGAGGGAGACGAGTGCTGGGGCTCGTTCCCAAGCGCCTGGCCTGTGACGGCAGCGCGCCGGGCGCCGCGCGGCAGGAGGGGGCGGGGCTCTGGATGAGGGATGGGCGAGGGCGGGGGGAAGGGAAGAGGGAGGTGGAGGAGGTTGCGGCGGGTTTGAAAGCGGCAGTTTCCTGGCAGCTTGGGCAGGCGTTGGTCTCCGCGCTCCAGCTCCGCAGCGGCCACGATCGATCCTGCGACGGGTCTACGCGCGCTTCTGCGCGCCCCCGACGGATTTTTCCCGTTCCGGATCTTCCCTGTTCACCTCCCCGCCCCCCTGTTTCTGTCTTTCCCGCCGCTCCGGCGCGGAGCCCGGGGGCCAGCCGGCGGCCGTGACCCCGCCCGAAACCCCTCTGGAGCTGCCCGGGGACAGTTCCCCTCTCCTTTCTTCAGTCTAGCCCGGGGTGGTCCTCGCGGAGCCCGTCAGCCCCGGGGAGCGCAGCCGGGAGGGGCGTCCGAGGGGCGTCTCGGGGCTTGGAGCAGCCCGGCCCCAGCAGGCTGCGGTCGGGGGTGGGGGCGCCGGAGCGTCGAGGCCCCCTCGCCGGGCTGCACGGGCCGTCGGGCCCCCAGGCTGAGAGGGGGCCGGAGCGGCGCCCCCGCCGCCCGCGCGGGGTCTCCCCCATGGTGCAGCGGGGTTCGGGATGTCGAAGACGCTGAAGAAGAAGAAGCACTGGCTCAGCAAGGTGCAGGAGTGCGCTGTGTCCTGGGCCGGGCCCCCGGGCGACTTGGGCGCCGAGATCCGGGGCGGCGCGGAGCGCGGCGAGTTCCCTTACCTGGGGCGGCTCCGGGAGGAGCCCGGCGGGGGCACCTGCTGCGTAGTCTCGGGCAAGGCGCCCAGCCCTGGGGATGTGCTTCTGGAGGTGAACGGGACGCCTGTCAGCGGGCTCACCAACCGGGACACCCTGGCTGTCATCCGCCACTTCCGAGAGCCCATCCGTCTCAAGACTGTGAAGCCAGGTACGCCGGCCCTGCCTTTCTGTCTCGCGGCTTGGAGGGGGAAGTCGGGGTGGGCGTCCTGGGAGCGGCGGCCACTCCTCATCGCTTATCGCCCTGGGTAATCTTAGACTTCCAGGGTGCGCCGGACTCCCTGGCGAGGGGGAGGGGTGGCGGTGGTGATTCCCATTTTGCTGATAGGAAAACTGAGCTCTGGTTTGGCGGGGCTGCTCTGCAAGCTGTCATAGTATTGCAACCAGAAGCTGGGTTTCCAAGATTTGTAGCCCCGTCCTACCGAGAGTTTCTGACCAGAGAGGAAAAAAACAAAAACAAACAAAAAACCCAGCCTTTTCAGCTGCTCCCCTTTGTGGAAAAGGTCCTTACGATTCTTTGGAACAGTCTTACGCATTTTGTAATAGGGAAAGAGATTTTGTACTACTGAGGCACTTGGTGCCAAGGTTACCACCTAGTGTACCTAGGAAGGCTTAGCTGCTTCGGTGTTGCTTACACACTAGCAACACCTTGGAGCTGACAGCCTAACTCCGTTCAGGTGGTTTCAGGTGTCTGGGTACTGATGCTGTACAGTATATGTGGCCGAGTAGTGTGTTCTTCCCGGGAGCTGTTAGTCTGGGCTTCGGAAGAAGACCTAGGTGTCTCTTCGGAGTAAAATCTTTTCTAAATCTTTGATTTTACACACATTTTGTAGAAGTGGTGGTGGGTAAAACGGACCTCCGTTGCCCTGGTGTCTTTTATGCAAGTCAAATCTACTGCAAAGCACGTTACATTTATGTTTCAGAGCATTGATCAGATTGCGTACAGTGAAATCTGATAGTATGCAATGGTTCTTATGTATTTGTTATCTACAGCATTGTTGGTCGGTTCAGCGTTGGTTAGAAGGTGGCTCTGTTTTCTGAGATGCTTGTAGGAGAGGGAATTATCACAACGTTATTAGAAATCAAACTAGTTTCGCTGAGTGTGCTCTACTGAATATATAGTGCATCAAAATATAATGGGCTGTTTAATTGTGACTTGGGCTGGAGCAATCAGTCCAGACCTTCGCTGCAAAATGCTAGAAAATTCGGGAGAAAAATTTAACATGTTCTCTCCCTCACAGTGTTTTTTTCTTTCTCAGCAGCTCACTTTGGAAATTTCTCTTTCGTAGTCCTTGGGCTTAATGGGGACTGATGGTTTGTGGTGCAATATACATATGTGTGAGTATTGTGGGTGTATACACACGCACTCACATGTCTCTGCAATCTGAAATTAAGATTTTCTTCATGTGGTCTGTTTCATCATATTCATTTTAAGCTTACAGTTTATGTAAGGTTTTCTTTTTTATTGCTAATTTAAAAAACTTTGGCAGACTTTAAACATCTTTTTCTGTATAGTTTTGCAAATTAAGAAATTCTTAACTCAAACTTTCAGAGCCATATGTGAAAGGTGGAGGAAAGGTTTTGGGGGCTGTAATTTAGTGAGTCAGGCACTGTCTGTAATATGCAAAAAACTATATAATACACGGTTCACTAGTGTAGGTGCCATTTAGTTCAAATCCCCTGAGTCAGGGAATAATGAGAACATCTGCATCATTGTGTTTTGTTTTGATTAGTTGGGGGCATAAATGAGAATGTAACTGTTATTTTCAAAAATAGTTTAAGATTTAATAGGTTGAGGAAGTCAATATATCCTCAAAGTATTGTAATTCTTTTAGAAGACTGGGAAGATCTTTAATATTAGTCTGATCTGCATGTTATATATTTTGTCAATGTTTATATCAAATTTAAGAAAATAATTTGAAGTTTAGAGTGTATTCAGTAATATAGATTAGCTGTGTTGAATAAACATCATATGCCCCAGAATGTAGTTGACATTTTTGTAGTAATAAAATTTTTCCCTCTTGACAAGTGCACGTACTTTCCTACTTTAAATGTTTAGTCAAAAAAAGGGAATAATTTATATTAATGGGTTTAGCATATTTTCGGATCATTAATAATAAAAGTTCTGAATACTACACTTATTTTTTTAAAGATATGCTCTGCCTCAGTAATTTCTAAAGGATACAACTATGTGTCCTCTAAGATTATTATTCTCGTTTCTAAGTAAGTTGTAATTTAAAAATCTTAATTTCTCAAAGAATAGTATTCTTAGTTTCTTAATAGCCTCATGTTAAGCATTTCATGAAATGGCTTTCTTAAATGGCTTTGCTTAAACAACATTTGTTATAAAATAGCAGGATTTTTGCAGGTTAAGCCCAAGACTTCAAATATTAGAAATTAAGGAACTAGAAGAGGTTATTCGTAGAACTCTGGGTGTGATTAAAAACAGCATAAATATCATCTCTGGAGGAGCCAAGGATTCCATACTGTTAGGCTGAAATTTGAAAAGTATGAAAATACAAAGTAAGGAAATTTAAAAAGGAATTTGCTCTGCACGTTGCTTTTTTTTATTTTATCTAAACTTTGTGAGCGAAATGGATTTTCCATTTTAATAAGGAATTGCAAAGTGTACTTTTCACTGTCTCTTGTCTTGATTAGTAACTCTTTGTAAAACTATATTCAAAGCATCATTTAGAAACTAGTACAGTGCAAGACTATATTTAACATTTCTGTAGGATGTAATATTAGTGTGGAATGATCTCACATTCATTGTCTTCTGACAAAGTCCATGGCAAAAGGATGAGTATGGATCCTTCCTAGCTTTCTCCTTTTTTTGTCTAGTGCATGCTAAGGGGAGCTCAGCCAAAGCCAGCATCAACACCTGGATGACTTAAGGAAGGTTCTCTCTGGCAGTGACTGTCTTCAGCTTTGATTTGAGCTTTAGTATTTTTTTTTTCTTACTTGCAAATTCCTTTAAAGATTATAACAACAACAACAACACCTCTTTAAAATATGGTTCCTAATCCTAAGCTTTTCTTGAGAGAATTAGGGAATTTCTTACTGGAATCTTATTCTTACTTAGTATTCACATAGTACGTAGCAGTCAGTACATTCCTGCTTCAAGGACAGTCTTTAGTTGTACTTAGTCCTTGGCGCAACTGATCACCTGTTTCTTAAGTACAACCCTGCCTTTTTTCTTTCTTCCTTCCTTCCTTTCTTTTTCTTTTTCTTTTTCTATTTGTTTTTCTTTTTCTTCTTTCTTTTCTTATCTGCAGAGAGAAAAGTTTTCAATTGAATTTGATCTTTGTAGTTTCACAGTAGTAAAGGAAGTTAAACTTTGGACCTCTGATGAAATTGTTTCACGATCTAGTCCTGTGACCTGGATTAGTTTCTTTGATTTTATTTCAGAGCATATTTTTAAGCAATTTCTTTTCTGGTTAATGATAGAAGTAGTTAATTTTGTTCTAAAATTCTCCGGACTATGAATGTACAGACTTTTATGGAATATTCACTTCTTCGTATACTTTTAAACACGTATATCAGTGGTTGCAAATTATGTGGATTGTATTCCAGAGATTAGGTATTGATACATTAAGAACATGAAACCATTGGCTACTGCGTTACTATGCACACAGTGCTTTCAACTACCTTAAGTCTGCTACTGTATCTAGAGATGAAAATCATGAGGAACAATGTTATTGTTTAAACAAAAACTAATTTGAAATAGATCTTGTTTAATGCCAGTTAATCGTAGGTCAAAGTTTGCCACTGACTCTTTGAGACATCTGACTTATAGGGGAATTTTGTTAAAATGAGCACATTCCTAGAAATCCATTCCCCATTGGTGAAGAAACATTACTAGAAGCTTTTAAGTAAGGGTGTTTATGTTATGCCAATAATGAATAACTTTACCACTTTCTTTTAACTTTTGGGTCTTTTTGTCTTTTTGGTTTAATGGGTAATTTGGAACTTGTGCGTTTTGTTTAGGTGGTTGTCATATTTGAAGAAGGGAAGGGTGAGAGAAATTAGAGTTTAATTGCTAGCCTCCTAGGTTTCCAATACAAAAAATTTCTTTTTTAACAATAGAAACCTAGAGATGGGGTGAGGCAGCCTCTTTGTTAGGGAAAACACATTAAATTTTGATAAACCTTAAATTGGAAACTTTCCTGTCCTCTTAAAATTTGGTAGCAATTTTTTGGGTCTAAAATTGGTCTCAAGTAACTCAAGTAACTTCAGGTTCTGGGCTCTATTCATTGAAACCTTCGGTTCATGTGAATAATGGGTTTATGTCATAGAGGCAGAAGAAACACTTAATAATTGGCCCTTTTCAGTTTTCAGATCATTTTTATTTTATTCAGCTGAATGCTGAAACTGATTTTCATGGAACATAACTGTGTTCCTGGGGAATATAAATAGTCTTTCCTCTGAGATCCTGGGATGTACTTTATAAAACCTCTTATAAGAGACAAATTTCAGTGTGTGTGTGTGTGTGTGTGTGTGTGTGTGTGTGTGTGTGTGTTTCTTGGTCTCTAATTTATGTAAACTGATGGTAAAACAAATCTACATTTGCTCCAGTATCTGACTTGTGAAGTCAGTGCATAATCTTCTCAGGTGAATAGTTTCATATAATATCTTTACTATATAACCTCTAAGTGCTTTATAAATTTTGTGAGCGCTTAGGAGTTTGGGGAGTGTCTTTTAGGAGAATTTCATTTTTATGAACCACTTCAGTATTAGGTACCAATTCCAAACTCTGCCAATTCCTAAGTCAGTTTTTGGTTGTTTGTGATTTGACAGAGGATAAATGTTTTGGTACTGAAGACTAGAACTGTGACCCTTTTAATTAATTAAGCACTTTTGTTTCCCCTCTGAATTTTTGAGGAATAATTTCCTTGCAATACTACATTTTGGCAGAGAGAATGAATGCCTTTTATTTAAAACTGCTCTTAAGGGTAAGATTTTCAGTGGCTCAGAGGCTAGTGTTATGAGAGATGTGTTTGTCGGGAAGACTCTTGCTCTTCTCCTTGAAAGAATATTATTTAGAATGTTTCCCCCAAAAGATGGCTTATTTTACTTTATAAAGAGAAAACAAAAAGTTTGATTACTGGCACACATTCATTCCCTCAACAACCATTTGGTGGTGTAGCCATG